TATCAGGATATTGTGTTGTCAGGTAACAGGTAAGGCGAGAAGGGTATTGTGCAGATATGTTCAGTATTAAATTTGTGTGGGCAGTAAGACAGTCTTCAGATGCACTTTCTCTTATGCTGGTAAACAAGAAACATACTGTAATACAGGCAGGTATTATGTATGTGATAAATGTTTGATGATGAGTCATAATTTACTTATAGTTAAATCAGACGTGGTGACAGTGGTAAAGGAACAATATGTCTTTATCTTAACATTGTAGATGATAAACGCATCCTTTTGTTTCTCTTGTTTCACTGTAGGTGAGGTGATCACGTCACAGCTGAACTATCGTAATGTAAAAGACTTTTCACTGGTGAAATTAAATAATAATTGGCAGCAGCTTCACAAGCGAAAGTAGGTGTATTTTATTGTTGGTTACAGTATCAGTTTAAGATAATTACAAATAAAATTGCAGTTCAGTATTGTATTCTGGTCAGCAGTTTGTCAGTTAAATTACGTGTATATTTACGATAAGGAAAAGGTTGTTGGTAACTTTTATGAGTACGCACTATTAAGCAGTAGTGTAGCGATGAATAAATACTGAATTACATTTATAATAATGAATACACATTAGTATGTAGTTTATAAACAGTTAAAAATTTGCCTCTAGTGCCAGCTGTCCAGGATCTTGAGGTTATCTGTGATCAGACGTGGGTGTCATTGTGAGAGGCTCCATATACCAGCAGATCTTCTAGACCTGCCTTCCTTTCCAATTGTACGTAGATGTTAGCTGAATGGTGATGACACATCTATCACCGAGACAGAGTGCAGAAAAACGTGAAGTCCGATGGCATGTTGTGTGCTGTCAAAGGCTGAATGACTGCAGACTCTGTTTGTTTATCAGGTTGCCCTCTAATGGAGAGCCAGGTAGAACGTCAATGTAGATTCAAAACGCTGCGAGCGACGAGTGACGGGAGCAGGACGGAGGAAGGGGAGAAGATCAAAATCTCTCCGTGTGTCTAGCTCTCGGGCATTGGCTTCCCTGGTTAAGATTTCCAGATACGGAGGAGTGTTAAATTCCTCCGTCCTCGGACCGGTAATAAGGAGGGGGCTCTGTCAGTGGTCAGGCCCCGGTTCGATGGGGATCTTGAAGATGCTCATGGAGGAGCCATGGAGTGAGGGCGCCGGTCGTAGGAGACGAGCGTACGTGCTCCGGTGAATGGCTGGCAGACTTGTGGTCCTATAGTCTCCTAAAAGTAGGAACAGGAAGCCAGAGCCTTCAGTTACAAAGCTCTCTCCTGTGAAGCCAGCTGCCAGTGCGATGGTGTAGGGAGCAGACCACCCTCTCCCACATTGTAAGGAGTAGGCTTAAGACATTTCTCTGTTGGATAAAGCTGTATAGTGAGGGCTGGATCAGGTGAGGTGCGTGATCACCATCTCTTAGTTATGCTTGCTGATAGGCCTAGACAATCCGGGACTTTCCCATGGTGCACTGAGGTCCTCCTCTTTCCTCCTCCCTCTCCTTTCATGCACTCATTCATAGTCCCATTAATGCATGTTTAAACCTTCACTCTCTTCGAGTTCGTTGGCTTATCGTCCTGCACGTCATGACCTGGTGGACCCTCTGCCATGGTCCTGCTAGAACTGCCATGAGCTAATAATGGCAGTGATATTATTGTATTATTCGTTATCTAGTTGCTGTCCCTGCGTGCTGCTGGCCGTCGTCGCACCCGTCTTTTTCGATAATCCCATCGATCCTTATTACTGTTAATGGTATTGTTGACTGCTGTGTTGCCGTAATTCTGCTTTGTCTCTCTCTCTCTCTCTCTCTCCCTTCTCTCTCTCTCCTCTCCCTCTCCTCTCACTCCACTCCCTCCTCCCCTCACACCCTCCCTCCCTCCAAAACCTGGCAAGGCAAGATGACCACCTACACTAAGCCGAAGGTCTGTCCGAGGTTTCTGCCTGTTAAAAGGCAGTTTTTCCTTGCCGCCCCCGTCGCCAAGTGCTTGCCATGGTGGTACTGTTGGGTCCTCGTGCCGTAAATGTTAAAAAGGAGTTTCGGTCTAGACCTGCTCTATTTGACAAAGCGCTGTCCTGAGACTAACTTCTGCTTATCGAATTGGCGCTATACATTAAATAAAATTTAATTGAATTGAATACATCTAACGAAGAATAAAATAAACCCATATTTTCTAAATGAGCAGTCTCATTCTGATAATTTAATTATAATAACGAATTTGTACTGGGTATTGGCGACTACAAATGGTGTCAGTGCATCACTAATAGAACAGTCATTATTTTAAAAGACCTCTTTGTTGTTTGCCATCTTCCATCTTCAAAGTGAGCAAGTACCCCCTGGCTTTTGACAAGAACTCCCTGGTGCTTGTCCAATTCCTAGAACCAAGGGGGGCTTTGAAGCCTTTGGCTCTGGGATTGCGACTGATGTCAAACAGCCTGTCTGTGATCTATAAACAAATATCTAAATTAACTGGAAGCACTGAAATCATCACTATAACTGAGTGTCAACAGGTATCAGATAGTAAACACCCAAGTATGAGGCATAGTTTGATTTCTCTCCATTTCCTCTGTGGCTATGCTTTTTAAAATTAAATTGCTGCACTGCTTTAAACCTGTAAATCTGAGATGTGACAATAAGGGTGATGTGAGGTAAGTATGAGGTAGGTATAAACAGTTTTATCAAAGTTCTTGCATATTGTTGAATTTGAGGATGGTCATAATTATTTAATCGTTCCCGATTGGGGAAAAAAAGAAAAAAGAAAAAGATAAAGGGTTAATCCTGGTGGCATTCACATTTTAACAACCAACCTCGTTTTGGGGTTGCTGACCAACAGACCAACCACAAAGGGAGGGTGGGTGTTAAAGGGTTAAAGGGGTTAAAGCAATTAATCACTCAAATGTTGGAAATGATTTTGGTCAATGATGCAAATCCCTAGCTACATTACCTCTGAATTCTGAAGTAGCCTCACAATCTTTGAACTGGTGCGGAGCGCCACTGCCACAGAGCTACTCAAAGTCTGAGCAGCCAGGGAGACCTTGATTTAGTTTATAAGGAGAAATGAAGAGCACATTAGCGCTACAAGATACAAACATCATCAAAAAGTATAAAAACACAATAAAGCCCTAGAGCCCATTACTATTGTGGCCCTCTATACATAAATCATCATACAAACATACCTTCATTTTCTGATTAGCAAAGTTCACATGCTTATCTGTGACTCTGTTGGCAGCATGTAGTCCACTTTTCTTTTGGACATTGTTCAGATGAACTATGTACTTCCAATTGATACTGCCAGTTATGCTTCTAATTGGGCTGTATGCCTGCAGAATCAGATTTTTTTTTTTCACTGCACACGTCAAATGTGAAGCACCATATTCTGCACAATTATGTAAATACAATCAAAATGTATAAAAAGCAGAACAGAGTCAACCAGAGCAAATATGCGCAATAATGTAGGCAACAATGAGCATGTACCTGCAACATATTGCGTGTCAGCTTCAGCATGTGGCAAGCGTCCATCATAACAAAAACATTGTCATGGGTTACTGGATGTGGGAAATGGGTCTTCAAGGGCTCACAGGGGTCTGCTTTTAGATCGCACCCAAGTTGAGTGCACATACTTGGATGCATGACCATCCATTGTCATGCACACCACTCTTATCTGACGACGATGCAGCTCTTCTAATGCATGCTCTACTAAGACTGTCTGTGATTGTGGTGTGAGGGACTTGGTCAAATAATACCCAATTGGAGCTTTCCAATAACCTGGAAGTCCAACCACCATAAACACAAGAACCTCAGAAGCCATGTCTCATTCAATCGATCCCCCATGTCCACATATCCAAACATTGTTTGTGTCTCCATAATTTAGACGTTGTTTTAACGTAACTTAATTGTACTTGCTTGTGTAATAACGTAGCAGTTTTGGTGGAGTGGTAACGCCTTACTGCCTTCTGAAAACATTATTTTAAAAGTTATAATGCAAGCCAGCAATTTCCTGTATCATAATGTAAGATGTTTTTAACAAACCAAACTGATTGGAAATCATGTGCAACTTAAGTTATATTGAAAAGAAAGAGCAATTCTGCCTCTCCCATGTAAAATAGCTGGGTAGCAGTTAAACTGTAACGTTAGCTGCTACTAGGTCTCACTCAAAGCTTCCTGTTATTAGCCAGCTAGGCTAATAACAGTGATATAACGGTGATGACGTTAGCGACTCTGCCATAAGACATCTAGCC